TGACCATCGGCTGGAACCGAACAGAATCAGCGAGGAAGAATGTCACCAGCACACCGAGGATCATCAATATGGTTAAGTTTTCATGAACGATCACATAGTGGGCAGCACAGTGGCTAAATGGTTAGCACTTCCACCTGGCAGTACTAGGGTCATTGGTTCGAATCCCAACCACGGCACCACCTGCCTGGAGTTTGCATGTTCTCCCTGTGCCTGCGAGGGTTTCCTCCGGTACTCTGGTTTCCTCCCACACTCCAAAGACATGCTGGTAGGTGAATTGGCTCCTGTCTAAATTGGCCCTAGTATGTGTATGTATGAATGTGAGTTAGGGACCTTAGATTGTATGCCTCTTGAGGGTTGGGGACTGATGTGAATGTATAATATATATGTAAAGCTCTGTGTAAATTGACGGCGCTATATAAGTACCTGAAATAAATAATAATAGTTACAGCAAGGCAACGTTTCGGAGTCTCACAGGACCCCTTCATCAGTCACGTGGATATAGGTGGACACACATCCACTTTCCTCCAGCCACCCATAGGGAAACACTGCAGTTCATTGCTGATCCATGTAATCATGGGTCACAACCAGATTGTTGGAATGCTCATGTGAAAGGGGTCTTCAAGGTAACCTGTCCATAGAAATCCCACAGCCGCCACCGCTGACCTCGAAGTTACTTGAACATATTTTGCTCCCTCATTCAAACACCTAAAAGCACCCACGTGTAGACTTGGCTTTAGTTGAAAACTCATCTATAAGCACAACTGGAGGTAACATACCTTTAAGATAAATCAGAATTGTTACACCGGTGTTTATGTAATCCCCTTTCACTCACACATTGTAGAATAGATGAGTTGCTGTGTCAGAGCTCATTAACGGCAAACATCTGCATTAGATTAACCGCCCCCCCCGAGATAATCCTTACAGGGAGTTCTGCTTGAGCCTAGAATTAGTTCTTTATAGGATCCATTGCAGTTAGAAGCCAAGTGCTTGCAATAGATCCGTGATCACCCAGTGGATCTACATGCCTGTGCTCCCTGCAAGCTTCATTTCACAGTCATTATAGCTCTTTATGTGGATGTGTGCAATACTTAGAAATTAAAAAGTCATACAGCTTCCTTTCACTTTAATATTAGTTGCCAGTATCTGTTTTCTACCTGATCCTTGCAGTATCAATTCACAATTCCAAAATTTGCCTGACTTGGATACCCTAAAAAAAAAAAAAAAAAATGTATTCATGCAACAAATACTTTTTTCCTCATTGGGTCTTACTGCCCTCTAGTGGATTTGAAGTGTCATTTCTTGATAAAAGCAGTCTATGCAGTCACTGAAAAGTTTGCATTGGACTGTGATTGCTTTTAAAGAGGAAATTCCCCTGTTAATTATTTTCCAGTCTCTTCTTACCTTTCTCAATGGGTTATCCTCAATTAACATACTCGCATACACTCCTTGAATCATGCTTTGTTCTGCTGCTGCACTCCCAGTACCCCATTGGTCATTTCTTAAAGGCTAAGTTCACCTTTTTGAACACAAAAAAAAAAAGCTAATTTTTTTGCAGGTAAAAATATCTGCATTTTATTTATGCACTAAGAAGCCTGCAGAGCATTGCACTCACGATCAGCAAGCTACTGCAAGTTTTCGGCATAGCTATCTGCCTGTACCTTGTACAAACAGGCAATTACTTGAGAGTAGGATGAATCCATGAACTACAAGAGTGCTCACCAGTGCTGTCATAGTTCGTTGAGAACTACAAGCCATCAGCCGCAGTGGCTGTCCGTATTTGTGGGCTATTCATTCACAAAGATGCTGGAACATGTTATATGTTCCACCATAAAAACGGATGGAACATGTTACCTGTTCTGACTGTGAACTTATCCTTTAAATCATCAGGAGTTGGCTGTCTCTCCCTGGTTCTTGCAACCAGCCTCCTGATAACATGTCATTACATCTTTCCTTTGGTGCTGTGTAGAATCTGATGCCTCCTGGGATATATGACGTGGATATCCTAGGAGGCTCCACCAGGCTGACCAGGTTTACAGCCAAACAACAAACTTAAAATGGTTCTAAAGCCGTACAGTTTTTTTTTTTTTGCCCTAATGCATTCTGTGCATTAAGGTAAAAAAAAAAAAAAAAAAAAAAACCTTCCAATAATAGCTCCCTCCAGACAACCCCCCCCCCCCCCCCCCCCAATACTTACCTGGCTCCTCTTTTGATCCAGCGCTGTGTCTGGGAGCAGCATCACGGCTTTTTCTCTCTACTGCTGTCAATCAAATCCTGTGAGGAGATGTGCTGTGTGTGTCTATGGATACACATTTCCAGGCTTTGAAGCAAACCTACAAGCTGTGGGGGGCAGACAGAGAGGAGGAGCCTAGAGCACTGTCGGGGTAGCTCAGAAAATGGGGTTCGGTGCCTGCTCTGTGCAATACCGTAGCAGCGAAGTACCAACACGTTTATTATTTTAATTCTAAAAAAAGATGAGCCTTTACAATCACTTTAAACTGTTTAGTTAAAACCTCAATAGGAAGAGGTATCTGTAATTTATTACACTAGTGCCATTGTACCCTACTGCTTGATAGTCGGCACCACACCACATGTTTCTGTTGCCCCTTGTATGGGTATGACCATACCTGTTGTGTGATTTATATAGCTGACTATAGAAACTGTGAATTCCATCTGAGGAATTAAACTGAAAATTGGGTTTAGGCTTACTTTATTAAAATGGCAGTGGATTTCCTTGTATAGCTGGGCTAGATTACACAGGAATTGGAAATGCATAGAGAGCAGAAAGTGAGGACAGTCGCATGACTTGGGGAATGCTGACACCTGGCCATGTGGGCAGAGAAGTAAGAACACAGATGCCATGTGTACTAAAAAAAAAAAAAAAAAAAGAACTTTATTTAAAACTGAACCATGCATCAGCCATTGGACTCAGTGTGTGTGTGGGATAGAGATCAGCCTTTCTCAACCAGGGTGCCCATTCCTTCAGGGGTGCCTTGGCAAAATGTCTAAAAATTTCCCAAAACTTGTATACAAGCCAGCGGGTGGAACAAGCTTGCTTTTTAGTTACAGAAAAACAACAGGTTTTCGTTGTGCACCTATATGACCTTCTAGCCGCTGGCATCGTGATAACCAATGACATCATCAATTGATAAGGAGGATGTTGGTTGCCTACACAGCGTCCTAGTTTGACCCTCCTCACCCCTCTCCATCAGTGCTGGGGTCACATTAGCTCAGTGATGGAGAAAATCTGAGGGAGAAGAGAAACACTGGAATACCTGTCAGTACCAGAGTGCAAAAGTGTATTTGCTTTGGAAGAATAAATCACTTTTATTGTTGGGTGTCCTACATATGTGGATGATGCTGCGTTATATAAAACTATTAGAATAGTTTTTTCACATTATAGAATGGGGCGCAGTTTTAAAATTATGGACAGTTTAGAGGCACCCCATTTTAGAATGGGGCACCTCAAGACTGTCCATAATTTTAAAGGGTCCAACTGGACCGTACATAACTTTAAAGGGTCCTTCGGGACTGTCCATAATTTTAAAGGGTGCTTTGACTGAAGAAAGGTTGAGAAACACTGGTGTAGATAGATCACTTTCTTCTGTACGTATTTGTTACCGTGCTTCCCTTTTATATACAGTAATTTTATAATATCAGTATAGATATCCCTTCTTACACCTTTTATGTGTGTAGATGTTTGCTCCTTTGAAGACCCCTGTTGCATCTAAACATTTCCTAGAACTACACCCCATCAGTGTGCTGATAGAGGCAATACAAGTGAATGCTAATGCAGAATCATTCACGTTAACCCGTTGGAGTTCAGCACAGTGAAGACACGGCATGCCATGCACTACTCGTCACAAATCAGGAATGTGTGATCCCTTTTAGCCCTCATATATGAAGCCTTAGAATGCAGCAAGAGATCGGCCAGCTTCGTGAGTGTTTACTACCAGAAAAGCCCATCAACCGCAGTGTGCTAACAGTGCCAATATTTTAGATGTAATGTCAAATACTAGGAAGGTGCATCCAAACAAAAGGTGTGCACTGTTCTGTTCCTTTAGAAAGGCAATCAATGCCTGATTAGAGACACCTGTTCCCTGTCAAACATGCTGAAAAAAATACTCCATTTCTCCATTTGTGGAAGCAGTCTCCCTGCAGAGGACTGATACATCCCTTCCTGTCAGAGATGGAGCTCTTCAACCACCGGGGAGCATACACTTTCATGACTGCAGACAATATGGTCTGATTGCAGGTGGGATTCTCAGACCTCTGCAGAGAGACAACTGCTTTCACTATAGAGAGCAAGGGTTCTTCTCTGCAGCTTGCAGGCATGAGACAGGATATTCTGCTTAGGTTGTTGCTGCTTTGTAAAGAAAACAAAGTGCAAGACTTTACACACTGTTCTCTTGATGCACCTCGAATGTGTTTAGTTGGTTTAACCTGAAAGTTCAATTTGCTTTTAAAGGATAAATTCACCTTCCATAACATGTTACACCTATATTCTGTGTAACAAGTTATGAATGCACCAGCCCCCGCTTTGACAGCTAGCGGGAGATCTTCTCCCCCCTCGCTAGCTATCAAATTTTAAAAAATGTGGCCGAGCGTTTGGCCACATCACTCATTCACTGTATTCTGTGAATGAGAAACTACACTTCCCGACAGCTTTAGCGGCTGTCAGCTTGTAGTTCTCAATTAACTACCACAGCGCTGTGGCGTTTTCTGGTAGTTCATTGAGTCTTCCTGAGAGTATATCTGCTTTCCTGTACGGGCAAGCAGATATACTGACAGACTTGCAGGAGACCTGCATGGCACCAGCGATCTGCTGATCACTGATGCAATGCTTTAGCGCAGGGCTTAAAATTTCAAGTCCTGAGCTACTAGCCAGGCCTTAAGAGTTACTCGCCACCAACAAACACACACAAACGGAGACACCTGTGCACACACAAACATATATATACACACACGCACAGTGACATATATACACACACGCACAGTGACACATGTACACACACATACAGACACATATATATATACACACACAGGCACGTACAGACATGCATACACACAGATACATGTACATACACAGAATTACACACGCATAGACACATGTACATACACACAGCCACATGTATATACATACACACAAACACACACATGTACATGCAGACACATTTACACACACATACATGTATATACACACAGACACATGTACATGCATACACAAACACACACACACATGTACACACACACATTGTTAAGTGCTCTCTCCTCTCCCCTGAAGCCACCACTGGCTGACAGAGGATCATGGGACCAGAGTGAGCTGAAATTAGGTAGGCACACACATGCACACACACACACACACCCTATAAAAAGTTGCAGTACTTCGTTGTTCACTCACAGAGCTGGGTACTGCACTCTAGGGGGAGGCAGAGAGCACATCACACACTCCTTCCATGGCATTCACTGCGCTCAGCTATTGAGAAGTCTGACAGCTCCCAGTGCCAATGACAGATCCAGCCTAGGCTCTGAGCCTGCTCAGCAAGACGGCCCTGGGGGACACACTCGCCCCCACCATAATTTCCATTCGCCATTGGCGAGCAGGCGAGTGGAAATTTCAAGGCCTGCTTTAGAGGATCCAGAAACCAAAAATAATAAATGCACATTTTTTTTACCTGCAAAAAAAGTGCATTTATTATTTTTTGTATACAGGTGAACTTATCCTTGTAATAACGAAAATGAAATGGTATCAGAACCAGGACTGTAAGAGCAGCTGAAGCAGCACTACATGTTGGGTGTCAGTGCTTAGTTGGACCCTCAAAGAAAGAGTCTCAGTCTTCAAGGTAAGGAGAACATACTACATGTTGAAGATGTTGGAATTAACTGCACTGCAAAATAAAATTACGGTACATACAGCCAATGGCCATTTTTCTAATGTCTATTTTTTGTTTAATTTTTCCAAAATATGTTTTTTTTAAATGTGTTGGTATAAGCACTTTGGCTCAATGGAACCTGTTTTGGAACTACACGCCCTGGCAATGCCAGCAAGACTTTATAGTGTTCAGAGCTCTTGCTGCTGATGTCCATCTCCAAGCAGACAGTACATAGAGACCTCTGCTGGCCAGCCTGGAAATGAACCCTGTAGAGTTCAGGACAATGGATAGCGGCAAGCTCAAGATATGAATAGCTGTAAAATACAGGTGACAGCTAGACATTTCTTTGGCAGTTTTTTTTTTTCCCTCCTTTTAATCAGAAAATCTGATGCTGACAGTAGAGAAATACGTTTAATCCTGCCGCATGATCTCTGGGGCTGTCACAAGGCGGTAAGACTCTTATCTGTCTGGCCTGGACAGTATTTAAAGCATTAGGACAATCCTGTAAAGATGTAGGCGTAAGCACTACTATAATGAATGGGATTAGAATAATGTATTATCGCAGCTATGAGACTCGTCAGAGAGCAGAGTGTGGCACCCTTTATCTCTGTCTGGTGAGTCATATTCATTGCCAGTATATTTGCTGCCAACAGAATTACAGGTACTCAACTTTAGTTTTAATATAATGGAGTCCTTAAAGCAGGCTTTCTCAACCTTTTCAGCACAGGGGAACCCTTAAAATACATTATCAGGTCTCAGGGATCCTTGGGAAAAACAATTCTTTGGTGGGTCAGTGGGAAAAATACCACTTTCATTAATGTTCATTGGGAAGAATACCCCCTTTCAGACAGCTACTATGATAAAAAAAAATACTATAATTGGTGTCATACTGCTGTCTCTGCCAAGTAGCATTGGCCTTGAAACTATGAAGTCACCATCAGATGGAAAATCAATTAGCCAAAACTCAAGGAACCCTAGCAAAAACAGGAGAAGTTCTCGAAGGTTCCACAGAACCCTGATTGAGACTTGGCTGGCCTAGAGAGTCAGCGAGTTATTTTTAAAGGTATATTAAAGGCTTGATTTTTTTTTTATTATTTAAAATAACAAATATGTCCTACTTACCTGCTCCATGCAATGGTTTTGCACAGAGCAGCTCTGATTATCCTCTTCTTGGGTCCAATGTCTGGTCCCTCTCCCTTGCCGAGTGTCCCCAGAGCATGCATGAAGGTAAAAAACCCTTTACAACCGCTTTAATGCTCAGAGCATTCTTTCATTTATTCCCTTAAAAATGTGGTTTCCAACCTGAGCCATCAGAAAGACGTGTTTGGTTGTCTTTAGGTTTCAAAATTGTTTCTGAGGCCAATGCCTTGTTGGCACCAGGGCAGCAATAAATACATGGATGGAGATTCTGACCCTTCCTTACTCTACTAAGATTGTTTAGTTTTTCTGTATCCCCCAGTGGAGAGATCTCCCATCAACCCCTGTCCTAACAGGAAGTGAGGAGAAATCTCCAATTAAGAATACAGTTGGCAGTACAATCGTGGGAGAAGCTCTAACCCTTTTCTATTCTATCCAAAATGTTTTGGCTGGAGATAATGTAATATACAAAGTAGTAAACTAAATGATATAGTGAAACTCCTGCGCTACCTTAAACTATGTGATTTTGCTATTTAATGAATGTGATATAAAATAGGTGTGTGTGTCTTTTTAACTGACTATTGCTGCTGCTCACATCAAAAAGTGTTCCCATATTAAGTGAAGTGAATAATCTGGTAAATGCTGCTGCTCTGCTAATACCCTATTTGCGTATGACGCGTGCACATAACTAAATTAACATACAGTATAAACAAGCATATAAATATCTAATGCATTTCAACATGTATAAATATATTAATGCATCAGTTCATAAAGCCCACATATAAGTGCCTGGTTATCCAAGACCAAAATATACGTGCTCCTTGTTGACTTCGCACAATACAGTGCTACCTCTGTGCTCACAGAAATCTCACCTCCAAATTTGTATCATCATGCGTGTATATGACATGCCATCCCGATTCCACCAATTCCTTCTGCCTCCTTCTCCTCCAGACCACTAGGGGATTTTCACTCCTTTCTTACCAATAATCAAAATGGAAGCGAGGAGTGGTGCCTTTAAACCTCTTATGCATTCATACTGTTGCCTTCACCTTGCCCATAGATAGAGAAAGAAATGCGCCTCTTATGGTGTAGTATGATTAAAAATTCCAATGTTTATTAAAATAAAGTATTGCACTTACATTTTACAAGATAAACAATCGCTTCTATTATTGAGATCTCAATAAGCGCTTCAACACTATATCACTTCCGGTTCGCCCCCCCCCCCCCAACCGCTCGCAGGACCATTGAAAGCGTGCAGTGGGAGGCTGGCTGTGAAGCCACAGAGAGTCACAGCCAGCTTCACAGAGTCAACATGGCTGCTCCAGCGACCCAAAGACCAGTGAAGAACCGGCTTGAGTGAGGACAGCGTTTGATCCTTGGACAGGTAAGTGTCTTTTTTAATCAGAGTATAACAGCAAGTCAGTTAAACTCTTGGGATATTGATCTGGTCAGTTTAGTAGAGGGGGTTGTTAATCAGTTTGAGCTGCTTTGGTGCTGATGAAATTACCAACAGGTGCACTACATGGGCAAGAATGACCCCCAAACCAGGAATGGTTTTACAGCTGGAGGCCACTGACATTTTCCCTACTCATCTTTTCTGACTGTTTTTCACTAGTTTTGCATTTGGCTAGGGTCAGAGCCACTACTGGTAGCATGAGGTGATACCTGGACTCTACAGAGGTTGCACAGGCAGTCCAACTCCTCCGGGATGGCACATCATTACGTACCATTGCCAGAAGTTTTGCTGTGTTTCCAGGCACAGTCTGAAGAGCATGGAGGAGATTCCAGGAGACAGGCAGTTACTCTAGGAGAGCTGGACAGGGCAGAAGAAGGTCCTTAGCCCATCAGCAGGACTGGTATCTGCTCCTTTGTGCAAGGAGGAACAGGGTGAGCACTGCCAGAGCCATACAAAATGACTTCCAGCAGGCCACTGGTGTGAATGTCTCTGACCAAACAATCAGAAACAGACTTCTTGATGGTGGCCTGATGTCCTCTAGTGGGCCCTGTGCTCACTGCCTGGCACCATAGAGCTCGATTGTCATTTGCCATTGAACACCAGAATTGGTAGGTCCGCCACTGGCGTCCTGTATGTTCACAGATGAGAGCAGGTTCACCTTGAGCACATGTGACAGACGTGAAAGGGTCTGGAGAAGCCATGGAGAAGGTTCTGCTGCCTGTAACATCCTTCAGCATGACCGTTTTGCTGGTGGGTCAGTGATGGTCTGGGGAGGCATATCCATTGAGGGATGCACAGACCTCTACAGGCTAGACAATGGCACCCTGACTGCCATTTAGGTATCGGGATGAATTCCTCTGACCCCTTGTCAGACCCTACGCTGGTGCAGTGCATCCTGGGTTTCTACTGGTGTACCACAATTCCCAGCCTCATGTGGCGAGAGTATGCAGGCAGTTCCTGGAGGATGAAGGAATTGATACCATTGAATGGCCCCCACGTTGACCTAAATCCAATAGAACACCTCTGGGATATCATGTTTCGGTCCGTTCGACTATGTCAGGTTGCACCTCAGACTGTCCAGGAGCTCAGTGATGCTCTGGTCCAGATCTGGGAGGAAATACCCCAGGACACCATCCATCCTCTCATTAGAAGCATGCCCCGATGTTGTCAGGCATGCATACAAGCATGTGGGGACCATACAAATGGAGTACCATTTTGAGTTGCTGCAATGAAATTTCAGCAAAGTGGACTAGCCTGCTGCATCATTTTTTCACTTTGATTTTCGGGGTGTCTTTGAATTCAGTCCTCTGTAGGTTGATAATTTTCATTTCCATCAAACGATGGGGCATCCTTACATTCCTAAACACATTACCCAATCAGTATAGATATCCAGCATGATATTCTTCCCCATTGAGATCTGATGTGTTTTCAAAGTTCTTCCTTTCATTTTTTTGAGCAGTGTATTAAAAGTCAACGGGTAGAGTATTTGTAGTTACTGACTTAATTTTTTTTTTTTTCTTTTTAAATGATCAAAATAGTTTAGCAAAAGACAACTAGGTCCAGAAAATCCTGTGTATTGTCAGTACACTATCCAAAAATTAGGAGTGCATTTTTTTAGCATATCATATATACCGTGTTTCCTCGAAAATAAGACAATGTCTTATATTTTTTTTGGGCTCAAGAAAACACACTAGGTCTTATTTTCGGGTAGGTCTTATTTTTTAAATGTACAGTTGTGGACAGGGGGTGCAGAGGTGAACTGCAGGCAGTTGTGAATGAGGGTTACTATGGAGAGAGCCGGCTGATGACAGTTGTGAGCTGCAGTCAGGTGTTGGAGGGGCGACTTGACAGGTGAGTTTCAGACAGGGTGCAGATATGAGCCACAGACAGGGTGCAGGGGTGAGTTGCAGAGGTGAGCTGTGGTCAGGGGGTGCGGAGCTTAGCTGTGGCTGGGGGGTGCAAAGGTGGGTTGCAACTCAGCTCACCTCTGCACCCCCCCAGCCGCAGCTCACCTATGTACCCTGTCTGCAACTCACCTGACTCAATTTACCTCTGCAACACCTGACTGCAGCTCACCTTTGCACATCCCCCCTCCTTCTCCACTGCCCTCATATGGTTAGCTAGCTTTGCAAAACAGCTGTGAGCAGCCGGCCCCTCCCTATAGTAACTCCCGTTTTGGGTCCTATCTTTCCACACAGTGCACCAAGCGCACTCACTCACCGCTCCGCCTCTTCCCCACTGGCCAGTGATCACCCCTGGGGCATCGGCTTCCATGCATTAGGCTGCAGGAGGAGATGCCCCACCCTGCCCCTAAACACACTACACCCTCAGATATATGTTCCTTCCCTGTCCCACAGTGAGTACAGAGGTAGGGAGGTTCTGCGGGAGCGGATGGTGCTGTTACTTCAGCCGCGCTTCTGTGATTTTAAGAGACAGTAGATATGGGTGTGCGCGGGGCCAGCGCCTGAGGTGGCGGAATGGCGTTCCGCCATGTTCTGGCTGAAAAAAGCCCTGATCACAACTAGGTCTTATTTTCGGGTAGGTCTTATACTTTAGCAATTCCCAAAAATAGCACTAGGTCTTATTTTCGGGGTAGGTCTTATTTTAGGGGAAACAGGGTACTTGCAGGGTCTTTAAAAGGATAATTCAGGAGAGGGAAAATCTGCATTATTTGCAAGATGTACTTGAGATGTTTTGTTTTGTGTGTTTTTTTTTTTTTTTTTTAACTTTAAAAGAGAAGTATGGGAACCATTTTGTTTTTAAATCATACTTAGCCAATGCTGCATTTGTCCCCCGCCAGCTCTAAGGGTGATGAGCACAAGATCGCTGAGTTCCCACCGCCACTGTGAGCAGAAAGCAGTGACGGTCAGTTACCACTGTTTACCCTACACCCCACTCTCCCCTGTGCTCACTGGAGTACTGGGCTGTGGTGGGGGGCGAGAGCAGCTGGCTCAGGCTTTCAGTTGCTCACTGAGAGGCTAAGCAAAGGTGCCACTCCAGACTCTGGGGTGTCTGGGGAGCTCTGTGACATCAGCCGATAGTGGGTCATAGGAGTGCAGAACAAACTGCACTCCTGTGATCCATAGAAGTACAGCCAAAAGAGCTTTGGCTGTACTTCTCCTTTAAGTAACGTCTTGTTGCAAGTTGACAACGCTAGGCTGCTGTTTTCAATTGGCAGCATGATGTGAGCTCTTCATTTGGCTGCTGTCAAACTGATAGACCTGATTTTGTGTTTGCGCACACTTTTTTAAATCATTCTGAGCTGTATTTTTTCAGAAAGCTGCTTGTAAGAAATCTTGTCAGTGGGGACAGAAATTTTAACTCTTCCTCCTAAGTAGCTGCAGTTAAAATTCTGTTTCATTGAAATAAGGTAGCTGTCATTGAGTTTTTTTTTTTTTTTTTTTTTTAAAGTTGAAGGTTTGTGGGGTGCTTTACTTATCCTAGTCATTACCAATTGAGTCACTGACTGGAACAAGCATATAGAGTGGTGGTTCACATTTCACCGGGTCTATACCTGTTCCAGGTCAATGGCTCCCTAGGTAGTGAAGGCAAGATCAAGATGACACCATCGGAGATCTTTCAAAAAGTAAGTCAACCTCTTGTGTCCTCACTGGTTTCCTTGAACAGCAGTCCTCTGGGGAACAAAGTTTTTCCTTTTATCCTATAATACCAGCTATCACTACTCACAGCTGATAAAAACTGAAACCACCTACTATTGAAAAGCTCTATGGCAGAACGTTGACGATAAGAATGGGAAAATCCCATAGGCCATTCATTGCACAATAGGTGTATTTACTTATTTTGTGTGAACTGTGTTCTCTTCCAGAAAAACTAATAATGATGCATTGATTTTATGCATGGCAGGCGATGTGTGCAGAATTGTACAGCAAATGTAACCCTGACAGATTCTGTCTTCAGCTTTACCCTGCAATATTCTCAAATTCAGAATTTGAGAAGTCGTAAAGACTGAACCTAATGTTTTAACTGTTTAGAACCTGGAGTTGAGTTCTGTTTGCATCCATGTACCTTGAACAATGATAATTGATATTTAGTAAAGGATAGCTGTAGTTTAACAACTCTTTGTTATTTTAATGTATCCAGGAACACCAGTCACCTATGCCTTCTCTTTCTCTGTGCTCTTTGAACTGTTGTGACAGACTCGGGACAGGTATAACATTACTGTGTTGACATACAACCTGTCTGCAGTGTAACTGTAGACAACGACTGAGAGAATACCTTTGTATGTCTTTGTGATCCAATGGGGTTGATTTACAAAAGCCAAAGAGACTACATTTGCAAGTACAGCTGCTCCAGAGCTTAATAAATGAGGGGAAACTGCTGACTTCCATTATCTAATCACGTGCAAGCAAAAAAATCTTTTTATTGTTCTTGCATGTGATTGGGTATTCTTTGTGAGGTGAAACTCATTTACTAAACTCTGGAGAAACTGCACTTGCAAAGTGCACCGCCTTATTGCCTTTAGCAAATCAACCCCAATGTCTTCACTGCCTGGAGCAATAAACATTCTATCTATGCTGTTATGTGACAGGGATAGGTGGAGATCAAATGGCTAGAAGCAGACAGCCCCTGCATGAATTAAGATGAGCCCTCCATCTCTCATCCCATGTGGGTCCAAGTAGCCACAAAGGAAAGGAGAAAGCACATATAAAGGGATGATGATGCCTTGCTTTCTTACTTGTCCTGGTTTTTGAGACATGGGCTTTCTACACTGTAGAGTTGCATGACCCTAAATAAGTGACTTTCTAAAGCTTGGCTGGTATTACTTAAAGTGATATTAAAGGCATGTTGTTTTTTTTGTTTTTTTTTTTAAATCAAACATTTTACTTACCTGCTCTGTGCAGTGGTTTTGCACAGAGCCAGCCCCAATCCTCCTCATTTCATGTTCCCCGCCGGTGTTTCTGGCTTCTCCCTCCTGCCAAGTGTCCCTACATCAAGCAGCTTGCTATGGGGGCACCCAGGCAGGCTTACTCATGAGCCGCTGCTCTGTATATCCATTCACATCCAGAGCTTCGGCCTGGCCCCCTCTCTCCTCATTGGCTCCCTGGCTATGATTGACAGTAGCAGGAGCCAATAGGAGAGTTCCCGGAGACCCGAGGCTCTCGTGCACATCACTGGATCCAGAAAGGGCACAGGTAAGCATTTGGGGGGGGGGGCTGCTGCACACAGAAGGTTTTTTTTACCATCATGCATAGAATGTGTGAAGGTAAAAAAACCTTAAGCCTTTACAACCATTTTAACCACTTCAAGTCTGGACACTTTGTCCAAAATGTCCAAAAATTTTGAAAAAAGTGTTTTTCTTATACAATTTTTCAAATAAATGTTTCATCATAAATCTTGGCCAAAAATTATTCAGTTATCTTTTTAGTAAAAAAAAAAATAACCCAAATTAGTTTATTTGCAAAAATTATAATTTAAAACATTTTTTTTTTACATTTTTGTTTTATTTTTTTTAATATTATTTGTTTTTTTTTACATACAGTTACCCTAGCAGTACAGTGTCACCATGGTGACACTGTACTACTTGTGGTTGGTGATGAAGATTTTTTTTTTTTTTTTACACTGATTGCTTTTACACCCGTAAAGGCTGTAAAAGCAATCATTTCTCCTTCTCTCTGGCTGCATTCTTGCAGCCATTGAGAAATACTGTGTGAGCTGTGATTGGTCTCAGCTTGTCACAAGGTACAAGGTTGTTGTGAATAGCCTTGTACCATGTGACCACTGTGATCATTCACAGAATTTACACGTAGTAAGCTCTGCATGTAATCACTGATTGGCCAATCCGTGATCACATGACCGGGACCTCGCACAGAGGTCCTATACAGCGTTCGCTGTTCCACTGTGTCCGGAGGACACAGCGGCACACAGATTGCGTTGCTGTGTGCTCCCAGGGAGCATGCACAAGCAGGAGGTGGGGGGAGGCCATTTATAAACAGCCACCCACCCCTGCACTGCCACCTACTGGCCGTTTATATACAACAGCCGGGCGGGAAGTGATTAAAGAGATAATAAACCTTCAGATTTGTTAAGCACTTTCAGCAGCTGATTCATTCACTCACTGGGTATGCAGCTTCTTTACCTTTTAATCCTTGCCTACTTAAGCTGGTGCCATGAACACTGCCTCAGTGTTTCCAGGTGGATCCTTTCTTCTCATGCAGTATCTGGAAAGTTACCAGGAAAGTTTATTTTGCTTAAAGTGATCTCAAACCTTCAATTTTTGTTTTAACCACTTGCCTACCTTTCACCCCTTCCTGCCGAGGCCAATTTTCAGCTTTCAGCGTTGTTGCACTTTTAATGACAATTGGGCGGTCATGCAGCACTGTACCCAAACACAATTTGTATAATTCTTTTGAGACAGAGCTTTCTTTTGGTGGTATGTAATCAACACTGCTTTTTTTTTTTTTTTTGCTAAACAAACTTAAAAAGACTGCAATTTTAGAAAAAAAAACATTTTTTCTTTGTTTCTGTTATAAAATTTTGTAAATAAGTAATTTTTTCTCCTTCACTGATGTGCGCTAATGAGGCTGCAGTGATGGACACTAATATACTGCACTGATGGGCGGCACTGGTAGGTGGCACTGATGGGCATTGACAGGCATCATTGATAGGCACTGAAATGCAGCACATATGTATGGCACTGATTGGAACTGATAGGCCACACTGACTGGCACTGCTAGTTGGCATTGATGTGCACTGGTAGGCACTGATATGTTGCATTGATGTGCACTGGTAGGCATTGATGTGCATGTGGCACTGATATGTGGCATTGATGTGCACTGATATGGCATTGATGTGCATGATATGTGCATTGATGTGCACTGATATGTTGCATTGATGTGCACTGGTAGGGTCATTGATGGGTACTGACAGGTGGCACTGATGGGGCTACACTGATCATCAGGGCACTGATGATCAGTGTAGATGTGCCCTCTGAGGAATGCCGCTTACTGGCTCTGCTCTCTCATGCGCTGTCAGCGTAAGGAGAGGACTGCCTATAACCGGCACTTCCTTGTTTACATGTGATAAGCTGATCACATGACAGAGCCAATGTCACTGGCTCTTTACTCTGATCGGTGACCCGCTGCATCCCAGAGACACAGCCCACCACAGATCACCGCGCCGCACGCCCCTGGGGGTGCACATGCACAGTTAGAGTGGGAGGACGTCATATCATGTCCTCCCAGAACAAGAGAACCGCCGCCCGACCGTCATTTCCTTATATGGCAGGCAGGAGGTGGTTAAATAACAAACCTTTCATACTTACCTGCTCTGTGCAATGGTTTTGCACAGAGCAGCCCTCTTCGGGGGGTCCTCCACTGGTGGTCCTGGCTCCTCCTGTCTTCCGAGTACCCCCCCTAGCAAAGTGCTTGCTGGAGGGATACCTGTGCATTCTTTCTCCCAAGCCCTGCTGGCTGTGTCCGTAGGCACAGACAGCGGGGCTTTGCCCTGCACCCACTCCCTTGTCATAAGGTTTGATTGACAGCAGCGGGAGCCAAGTGCTCCTGCTGCTATCAATCTGCCATGTAAGCACGGAGAAAGAGAAGAGAGCTGCTGCTCTCATGCACAGTGCTGGCTTTAAATCAGGCTCAGTTAAGTATAAGGGAGGGCTGGGGGGGATCCTGGGCACAGATAGTTTTTTCTTTAATGCAGAAAATGCATTAAGGTTAAAAAAAAAAAAAATTGAGGCTTTAGAACTACTTTAATGTGTTATGCTGAAAAATGCTGAAGGTTTGATACTACTATTAAGCAGAAAAGATGGAGGGGTGCTCCTGCCCCCCCCCCCCCACACACACACACACACACACATTCATCATTCAGACACCTAATTTGGCCTATTATGTATAGTAATGTGTTCAAATGAAAATGTTTAATATTGACCCATGTTTCCCTTAGTAGGGTATACAGACAAGTCTTATAATTTTCTTACTATCCTCTGCAGTATGGTGCCTGATTGAAGGCCCACTATAACGTGTAACTGTTGTTTTTTTTTACAATTATACTTTAAATGATCCCCCTCCCCAATACAACCAGATCCAGACAGTGCCACACTGTGCCCTACCTCTACCTTGCTAATTGCCATATAAACATCTTTGGTGTCTCCTGCTACTGCAACCTGCATAAGCATCTCCCCCTTAATGATTTTTAAATGTATATATAAGCAGACTAAATAGTGTATGCTTGGAGCTCCCCTTTAATTCTGTGTTATTGTACAACAAGCATCCGTGGCCACAATTACTCTGCAGTGAAATCCATGACACTGGCGTTTTATGCATTCATCTGTGTGGGGATGTCAAAAAGATCAAAGGCATTTAACCTTTGCGTGTGGGCAGGATGTAGAGGATACCCAGCAGACTAGCATGCTGGAGGTGCAGACACTTAGACGTCCTCTTTATAGATTTATAAATGTGCTGCTAGCAGAGAACACATTACAAATGCGCCCTGTATTAATTCTCCAGCTAATGATGATAGAATGCTATAATCCATCTAAAAATTTCAAGCTTCTTATAGGGAACTATTGTTGTATAATGAATGCGTAATAAATGCATGCAGTGCTGGTGCCACTTAATGCAGGACTGAGCTGTCACCATTGTCAGTGCAGTACTTTGCAGTGTACCAGTACTTACAGTTGATCTGTAGCCAGGTTATGGACATTCAAATATTTATATTTTTTAATCTTAACTAGCAGTGAATGAGCTTTCAAATGAGTCCTCACTGACGTATGGCTGCAAGCATCGTGGATCTATCCACATTTACAACAGACAGTTTCTAATTCTCTGCGTAGCTCAGTTCCCCTTCTCTCTATTTCAGCAACTCAAAACAACAGTCTCTCCTCCCAGCAATGACTCAGCAGCTCAGCTCCCCCTCCCAGCAGTGACTCAGCAGCTCAGCAGCTCCCCCTGCAGCAGTGACTCAGCAGCTCAGCTCCCCCTCCCAGCAGTGCCTCAGCAGCTCAGCTCCCCCTCCCAGCAGTGCCTCAGCAGCTCAGCTCCCCCTCCCAGCAGTGACTCAGCAGCTCAGCAGTGACTCAGCAGCTCAGCTCTCCCTCCCAGCAGTGACTCAGCAGCTCAGCTCTCCCTCCCAGCAGTGCCTCAGCAGCTCAGCTCCCCCTCCCAGCAGTGACTCAGCAGCTCAGCTCCCCCTCCCAGCAATGACTCAGCAGCTCAGCTCCCCCTCCCAGCAATGACTCAGCAGCTCAGCTCCCCCTCCCAGCAATGACTCAGCAGCTCAGCTCCCCCTCCCAGCAATGACTCAGCAGCTCAGCTCCCCCTCCCAGCAATGACTCCGCAGCTCAGCTCCCCCTCCCAGCAGACTCCGCAGCTCAGCTCCCCCTCCCAGCAATGACTCCGCAGCTCAGCTCCCCCTCACAGCAGTGACTTAGGCGCCATGGGCACAGTGTGTTTAGCCACATTGCATTTAGGTGCAGGTGGCAGGCACAGGTTCCCATTCAGCCCTGCTGCCAGCAGCCTTTCAAGCTCTGTGAGAGGCTGACACCTGCTGTAGCTAGATAGGAATGGGCAGTGCACCTAATGGTCTTTACATTTAGGACAGTATGCGCCTAGGAATGAATAGCCTGAACACAGGCACTCTGTGCAGTCAAGCCCTTCCCAGCGGTTACACTCACTGTTTTCCCTCTAAGCAATGTCTAAACAGCTCAGCTGTCTCTGTTCCCCCTCCCAGCAGTGGTTCAGCACCTCTGCTCCCCCATGCCAGCAGTGACTTGCAGCATGCTAGCTTTCTAATATAAATGAGGCGCCAGTAAAAAGGGAGAGATCAGAGTCATCTAAGCAGACTTTGAAGGACTTCATTGCTTCTATTGTGAAATATGAGAATTGCTCCACAGTACCTAAAATTTTCCCTTTCTGCCCATCCTTGTATGAACAAGACTTCCACACTGTGAGACTAATTTCAGCATTTGCAGCCTAACAAAATGTGCTTTAATAAATGAACAAGCTGAATTAAAACTATTTATAAGGGTGTTTTTATACAAGAGGTTGATCTTTAGCGGGTATGAATGTGGCCACCATTGTTGTCCTGCCACAAAAGGAAAGAGAAGAGGGGCATTGTGTCCTGCATATTAGGATCTATCTCACCTCTTTCTTCTAAATAGATAATCCGGGAGCTTTGCCAACTACTGCTCCCCGAGCGAGTGTTTGATGACCTTTTAAGTTCATGATATAAGGTTTAAGGAGAAACCCAAGCTTAAGCTGCATTTAAATGAACACAAAGCTGAACTGAAAGTGTTACTAAACCCACAACAATAAAATCAGTCTGTATATGCAGTAAAGCATGCTTGTTATACTCACTGTGGAACCTAAGGGGTTAATCCTCTGCAGTGTGTAAAGAGAATGTTTGATCCTGTCTTCTCTTATCCTCCCCTTCTACTGTGCTCAATCTATCTGCTGATAGTACAGAGCCCTAGGAGACACTCTGCACATGCTCAGGATAGTGTGTATTGCTAGAGAGTTTTTTTTTTTTCTTTGGGAGGGTGCATGTGATCAGCACAGGGCCAATCAGCACTGTCCAGACAGAGGGTCAGGGGTTATGCAGCCTTATAGGACAGTCAGAGCAAAATGAAAAATCCTACAAGATTAACCAGTGCTCAGTCTGACACTGATTGAAGTCACAAGACTGTTATAAAATACTGATGAGAAAAGGTAATTAGAAGTTTATATTACTATAATAATTGCATTTCCATGTTCTGTGGAAAATGCGATATAGTGAATGCAGGGTCATGAGCCTAGTAACGCTTTAACTTTTCAGTTTACGGAAATCAGCTAAATTTATTTTAGGCTCACCAAACAAAGACATGCAAAGTCTTACAGTTCATTTCTTTATGAAAGCAGATACAACCTAAGTAGAAAAGCCTGTCCCCTGCCATCATGCTGCCAAGAACCCCTGCTTTGTGGAAGCAGTGGTCTTTCTGCAGAGATCTGACAAGCCTCCTGCTGAGTTAGCTTTCATGAGATTTGTCAATTGTTAAAGTGGTTGTGAACCTCAGTCATGAAATCTTAACAAAGTATATATATCTGTAGTGTTTACTTGCCTATCTCCAAAGCTCTAAGTGTCGCTTCTCTCCTGCTTCGTTCCTCTGTTGTCAGCATGAGTCACTTCTGAGAAGTTTTCCGACACATTAGATAACTTTGTGTGTGGGGAGGGGGAGAGCTCAGCAGACAACTTGTCTATACAGAATGCCACTCCTGTGTGCTGTGTGAATGGGGGGGTCCCTATCCTCCACTCAGCTCTCACAGAGCTCCAACTGCAACTCCCTGCCCTAGCTCTGTGATTCTGACAAATGCATTAGGATTTTACCTAAAATCAGCCCTTTTAACCACTTGCCGTCCGCCTGCTGTTTATAAACGGCAGGGAGGTGGCAGTGCAGGGGCAGGTTGCCGTTCATAAACGGCACCCGCCTTTTCTAGCTGTGCGCGCTCCCTGGGAGCATGCAGCACCGCGATCCGGTGCCCGCTGTGTCCTCCGGACACAGTGAAACACCGATCGTCGGACGGGACCTCTGTGTGAGGTCCCGATCATGTGATCACTGATTGGCCAATCAGTGATCACATGCAAAGTAGTAAGCAAGATGTCACTTGTGACATCATTGCTTACTACGTGTGAAATCTGTGAATGATCACAGAGGTCACATGGTACAAGGCTATTCACAACAGCCTTGTACCATGTGACAAGCTGTGACCAATCACAGCTCACTCAGTACTTCTCAATGACTACAAGAATGCAGACAGAGAGAAATGATTGCTTTTACATCCTACATGGGTGTAAAAGCAATCTGTGTAAAAAAAAAAAAATAAAAAAAAAAAAATCTTCATCACCCCCCACAAGTAGTACAGTGTCACCATGGTGACACTGTACTGCTAGGGTGACAGTATGTAAAAAAAAATAATATAAAAAAATAAAATAAAAATGTAAAAAAAAAATGTTTTTTGGTTATAAACTAATTTGGATTTTTTTTTTTTACTAAAAAAATAACAATAAATTTTGGCCAAGATTTATGATGAAATATTATTTATTTGCAAAATTTTATTAAAAAAAACACTTTTTTTTCAAAATTCTTGGACGTTTTCATTTACATAGCAAAAAAAATAAACATCCCAGCGGAGAATAAATACCACCAAAATAAAGCTTTATCTGTCTCAAAAAAATGGTAAAAAATTCATATGGGTACAGTATTGCATGACTGCGCAATTGTCATTCAACGTGTAATAGCGCTGAAAGCTGAAAATTGCCCTTGACAGGAAGGGGGTAAAAGTGTCCGGACAGGAAGTGGTTAAAGGAGTGTAGAGAAGGGAAGACTGTAGATAATCAAGTAAAACTTATGTAGGAGGATTTGCTTCATCTTTGTGTATCACCTGAGGCCAGTTACATCCCTGGGTATATAAGAGGGTTTACAACTACCTTAAGTTATATCTCTGATCTCACCCCCCCCCCCCACACACACACACACACACGTAGGGAGACGCACATAATTATACACAGATGCATCCCCTTACATCATCACTGCCTGCTTTTAGCAGGGCAGGTATACTAGAGATTTGGATGAAAGCAACTCCATTTCTGGTTTGCAAACTTATATAAAATAATAAAATTAGCAAAAACAGTTGTAATCTTAAAAGTTGCTTAGCTTCTTGGTACTATAATAACTAAAAATCTAATTGTTTTATACATTAAAGTGGTTGTAAAGGTTCAAGGTTTTTTACCTTCATGCATTCTATGCATGAAGGTAAAAAAAACACCTGTGTGCAGCAATGCCCCCAGCCTCCTCAATACTTACCTGAGCCCCATCGAGATCCAGCGATGTGCACGTCATCCTTGGGTGTCCCGGGTTTCTGCCTCCTCATTGGCTGAGATAGCAAGCAAGAGCCATTGGCTCCCACTGCTGTTAATCACAGCTAGTCAGCCAATGAGAGGGGTACCAAGCAGCGACTGTGTGTGAATGGACAAACGGAGCAGCGAGTGCCCCCATAGCAAGCTGCTTGCTATGGGGGCACCCGACAGAAAGGAGCCAGGAAAGCCTGCAGGGGACCCGAGAAAAGCAGGATCTGGGCTGCTCTGTGCAGAACCAGTGCACACAGCAGGTAAGTATAGACATGTTTGTCTAAAGAACCTTTAGTATCGCTTTAATGTCTATCTAAACCCAAAAATAGAAATACAATATATTGCAGCATAGATGTGGTGGCTGAATTGTTTTTAATTTTTCAGGAGTTCCCTTTAAGTTCACTTGCTAATCTAGCACAGTGTTTCTAAACCTTTTTTCCGTCAAGGCACCCTTTAAAATCCTGCACAATCTTAAGGCACCCATTACAAAATGTAAAAAATGAACCTAATAGTTTTACAAAACGCAGCAATAGCTGCACCTGTGGGACACCCAACATCAGGGGTGAGTTATTCTTCCAAAGCAAATACACACTGGTACTGACTTGTATTCCAAGGGTTCTCTTCTTCATCAGTTTCTCTCTTTCGCTCAGCTAATGGAAGCCCAGTGCTGACGGAGAGGGGCAGGGCAGGGGCAAGCAAGGATGCTGTGCAGGGGATGACATCATTCTTAGAAAAGTTGTAATGGTCCACAATGAAAACCTTTGTGTAACTAAAAGGCAGGCTGGGTCCACCTGCTGGCTTCTGTACAATTTTTGGGCAATTTTTAGGCATTTGCCAAGGCACCCCTGAAGTTACCTGCAGGCACCCTGGTTGAAAAAGGCTGATCTAGCACTTCACACTTCTGTTCCAATGTGGCTATGCTCACTCCGCTGTATCTATGGAGAGAGCCGTAGTAGTCACCCAGACTGAACTTCACACATATATTCCTTTTTTAGTTCTACCACATGGGGAGTGGGGGGATTAGTGGTTTACAAAAGGAAGATCAAATTGTTTGTGCCTTCTGTTCAGTTTTCAGGAAGTGAGAAGGACATTGCACTTCTGGCAGGATCAACACAAATTTGCTGTACTTGCTGAAAATATTCTTAAAACAGAACTAAAGTCTCTCAACCCACAGACCAGGGGCGGACTGACAACTCATGGGGCCCCCGGGCAATAGGGGATCATGGGGCCCCTGTGTCCTTGCTCAAACTCAAAAAAGCCTATGATAAAGGTACCAGGGGCATCTCATGGGGCTCCCTACTGACCCCAGGCCCTCGGGCAGCAGGGGCGGACTGACAACTCATGGGGCGACAATAGGGGATCATGGGGCCCCTGTGTCCTTGCCCAAACTCAAAAAAGCCTATGAAAAAGGTACCAGGGGCATCTTGTGGGGCCCCCTACTGACCCTGGGCCATCGGGCAGTGCCAGAGTTTCCAAATGGTCAGTCCGCCCCTGCCACAGACTGTTATTAATCCTTAAAGTGCAACTTTAGTCAGAAAATGAAGTCCTGCCAGATCACTTCAGGCTGTCCCCTTTTGCAGGTATAGCTTTGTAAAACATTAAACATAAGTGCCTATACTGTCTTAAAATCCAGAAATACACTGTCTCACCCTGCTCTGCACATGCTCAGTTGCTCTCTATTTTTTGGTACTGTACCAAAAATCAGAACCACTAGAGGCCGATCTGCTGAGAGCCTAAAGATTTACTGCTGCTTAGGGGCTCTGGGTTTCAGCAAAATGGAAGGAAGAAGAAAAAGAACAACGCTGAAGGCAATTTACAGCACACATTAATTTCAGTAGCATAATTATTAATGTGGAATGTATGTTCCTTGCTAAAGAACATTATTTTTTTATCAAGTCATGGGTAAAGTTGTACTTTATGCTGCTAGCCATTGTAAATAGATAGGAAGGTATATTATATTTATTTGTTTTATTTTTTTTTTAATATCTTCAGTTGCTTCCTGGTTTTTGGTCTAGGCCAAAATGTCGTCATACACCCCAGAAGTCTTCATGGGCTTTTTTTTTTTTTCATCTAGAGGAGGGGCTTTCTCAGCTAAGCACACTCTCCTGCCTGCATGCCTGAGCTAAAGGTAGATGAATTCCAGAAAGTAATTGCTACTTGCATTATCAGCCCTTACTTAATATGGCCACAGCTAGAAATGCTAGGGGGTGTTCTTCCTAAGAGATTTCTCAATAAAATAAAGCAGAGACATGGATAGATAGGTGAGTTTGCTTTGAATTAAAATTGAATTAATATTTAAATAGCGTTTTCAGTTTGTGCTGCTCAGCTGCAGTTTAGTTCCGCTTGAACCTGAAAAAAGAAAACAAATGCAGCCACATAACTAATAAGCTGTGAAATAGTACCTGTGTGTTATTGGGTTTAGATATCCTTTGAGTCGAAGTTTGATTGTAGGGCTGTTTGAAGTGTGCCCATTTGTGTTCAATTTCCATCTAAACTATAACCTTTCTACTGTAAAGACAGTTAATTACTCTAAAGAACCCAATTCCTGCAACTGGTTTACTGCAAATATAAAGCACTAATTTCCTCAATTGACCCTGACTAACAACACCCAAGGAAACGCAGTTCCATAAACTTGAATGGCCCACAGTTTACATAAAGACGACGTGTTTTATGCGTCCATTTCCTGCATTCCAGTTTGTCGTTTTTAGTATTTTGGAATTAACTTTTAAATAACAAAAAACACTAAACAACTTTTATGCCGTTCCAAAAATCCTTTCGTCTGTGAAATGTGTTTTAGTATTTTTTTTTTTCTTTTTTTTTTTTTTTGTTTTTAACCGTCACCTAAATTACTAAATAAACCATCATTTATGAATAGCAAAAAAAAAAAAAATCCTCAAATCTATGTTACTTGGACTTAATTTATAAAGACCGAGCGAGGTGAGTAGGGAAAGTATTAAAAAAAATAAATCAAAAACAAATCTAAACACAGTTAACATAAATTTTTTGCAGGTATAAACGGATCACGTCACAGGCTGAAGCAATCAGTGGTTCGTTCTTTATGAAATTACAATGAAACCGCGGATTGAAACCTGCACCTGAGTCACTCTGTTATTGATTAAATCCTGTTAGACTCCTCTCTAATTAAACTCGGTATTTTTTTTTTTTTCCTTTATTAAAGCCAAGCATAAAGTCATCAATTATACAAGCTGCATCTAATTTCATTTGGTGAGCTCTATGCTGGTGGCTGCTATTAGATTAAAATACATAATTAAATTGACACTGCTGTGTTTTTTGCTTTTAGTCTTTGTTATTTAGTAAATATATTGTTAATATTTACAGAACTGTAAGTAGATATAAAAGGCTTGCATTTATTCCAGTAATTATGTATTAAAACCTTTTTTTATGGTTGTGAAATCAGGCTGCTGAAAAGCTAACTTTTTTTTCCTTTAGTAATACAGCCTATCCCCTGCCAGAATGCTGCAGGGAAGGGCCCCTGTTCTCTTTGGGGGAAGCAGTAGTCTCTCTGCAGAGGTCCAATATGGCCACCGCTAGAGCTCTCCAAATAATAAAGCATGTGCTCCCTGCAGGGAGCATGACAGTGGGGGACCTGCTAATTTACTACTCTGTGTCTGCTTTGTGAACTAAACAAGCGTTTAGTCTCTTTTACCATTTTACACAAAGAAATGAGAGTTGGACCTTAAAGTAGAACTATCTGGGATATTCCCCTTCACTTCCTGTCCCATAGCCATAGGAAGTGAACGGAAATCCTTCCAAAGTAAATAGAAATCCCTGGTTGTCACCAGAACTATTGTTTCTACAAACCAAAATTAAAGTGCAGCTCAACCTCCTATATAACTATGTATGCGCTATATTATGCAATACAAATTCTCAAAACTTATCCACATGTCCATGTTTGTATCATGTGTACAAAGTATGTATATCTTGCCACCAACTCTTATAATATAACAAAAAATATTTAAATTACAGTGTTACTAAACCCACAACAATAAAATCAGTCTGTATATGCAGTAAAGCATGCTTGTTATACTCACTGTGGAACCTAAGGGGTCAATCCTCTACATTGTGTAAAAAGGCTGTTGGATTCTTTCTTCTCTGCCCCTCCTCTTGTTGAAATGAGCACCTGATACAGACTGAACCCATGGTCACATGCTCAGTTTGGTGTGTATTGCTAGAGAGTTTTTTTTTTTTTTTTTTTTCTTGGGAGCGTGCATGTGATCAGCACAGGGCCAATCAGCAGTGTCCAGACAGAGGTCAGGGGATTTCCATCCTCCTATAGCAGAAAGAAAATTCCTCCTACATGCTTTAGCATGTGCTCTTCTGAACACAGACATTACAAGACTGCTCTAACTTCTGATGAGAAAAAGTATTTAGCAGTTTATATTTTCTAAAATAATTGCATTTCCATGTTGTGTGTACAGTGGGAGACCAGATATAGTAAATACAGGGTCTGGGTAGACCAGATATAGTGAATGCCGGGTCCTGGGAGACCAGTTATAGTGAATGCAGGGTCCTGGGAGACCAGATATAGTGAATGCAGGGTCCTGGGAGACCAGATATAGTGAATGCAGGGTCCTGGGAGACCAGATATAGTGAATGCAGGGTCCTGGGAGACCAGATATAGTTAATGCTGGGTCCTGGGAGACCAGATATAGTGAATGCAGGGTCCTGGGTTTAGTAGCACTTTAAATATCAATTTCATGTAATCTCAATTTCAACTTCCAAATCGTCCATGAGCTATGTGGTAAAAGTATGCATTAACACTTTATGAACTGAATAAATACATAAGTGAAACACTGTAAATCTCATGCAATGATAGTCCCAGTCCTCCAGTCATCCATGTGTACGTCTATGTGCAACATGATCTGGACCCAGTGATAAATATATACATCAGCACATTTTAAACTGAATAAATGAATAAGGCGTGGCTGGAAGAAGTCATCATGCCAGGTCATTACTGGAAGTGAGGCTCTATACACATGTAATCGACATCTATATATTCCTTAACCACCTCCCATCCTGCCGTTGTATATAAACGGCCGGACGGTGGCAGTTGCAGGGTCGGGTGCCCGTTTATAAACAGCCTCCCCGCACCCTGCTTGTGCACGCTCCTTGGGAGTTCGCAGTACCGCGATCTGGTGCCCGCTGTGTCCTCCGGACACAGTGGAACACCGATCGTCGAACGGGACCTCTGTACGAGGTCCCGATCATGTGATCACTGATTGGCCAATCAGTGATCACATGCAGAGTAGTAAGCAAGATGTCACTTGTGACATCATTGCTTACTACGTGTGAAATCTGTGAATGATCACAGAGGTCACATGGTACAAGGCTATTCACAACAGCCTTGTACCATGTGACAAGCTGTGACCAATCACAGCTCACTCAGTAGTTCTCAATGGCTGCAGGAATGCAGTCAGAGAGTAGGAGAAACTAGAAAAGCTACAATTTCTGTGGAAATTGTGTGAAGTGTTCTTGCCTCCACCAGTAGTCTACAACTGGAGTGGGCGGAGTAACTGGGTGGAGTGGCTTGTCACTCTGCTGCCTGCTCACACACCTGGGTTCCTATGGCAACTCACTCTACAGCAAGGGCAGAGAAGAGCGGTTAAAACCAAACTGCTCCAACTTGCTCACTTCACTGGCGGTTGCCATCTACTAACGGTTGTAGTTTAAAAATTATAAATCCTACACAAAGAGCTTTATATTGTGAGAATCACAAGACCCAGACCTACATTTTTATGCATAGTATGTCTCTGAAATATTAAAAATGAAGTCACAGTCGCAGTTTAGAGATTGCCCGTCAAATTTGAGGTGGCTAGAGTGGAGTATCAATGAATGTCAATGGGAGGCGTGAGTTGCAAACAAATGGTCATATTGTGCAAATTATCAGGACTATGGCTTAGCCGTGGACATTTTTAGTGGCAGCAGGGATAGCTGAACTTTTTGATATAAGATTTGTGTAGGTGGGCTTGAAAATGAGGGAGTGATGGCAGTTTAGAAATCATGTCCTGATTTTTCAGCTCACACTCTAGAAAAAAAAAATCTTCATCACCCCCCACAAGTAGTACAGTACTGCTAGGGTGACAGTATGTAAAAAAAATAAATAAATAATATAAAGAAAATTAAAAAAAAAATGTTTAAAAATTATAATTTTTGGTTATAAACTAATTTGGGTTTTTTTTTTTTTTTTTTTACTATAAATATAACGGAATACATTTTGGCCAAGATTTATGATGAAATACTATTTATTTGCAAAATTTTATAAGAAAAACACTTTTTCAAAATTTTCAAAATTTTTGGACTTTTTAATTTACATAGCAAAAAAAATAAAAAATCCCAGTGGTGAATAAATACCACCAAAATAAAGCTTTATCTGTCTCAAAAAAATGCTAAACAATTTATATGGGTACAGTGTTGCATGACTGCGCAATTGTCATTCAAAGTGTGATAGCACTGAAAGCTGAAAATTGGCCTGGACAGGAAGGGGGTAAAAGTGTCCGGACTGGAAGTGGTTAAGGGGGCAATACAGTTATTGACCACTTCTTTGCTCTTCTATAGCCGAAAGATGGCTATAGCACGACTCTCCAGTTCTGGGAGGACTTTCACCCATGTGCATACCTCCTGTATGCATCATGCGTGCTCTGTGACTGCTCTGCCCTTTGGACACAGCTGATCACAGATCACGATAAAGGGCCAATCACAGTGTCCCTTTTTTCCATGTGATCAGCTGTGTCCAACAACAGCTGATCACATGTAAACAGCCTTGCCTGTTATCGGTATTCCTTTCCTCACACGATGTGGCTGTGTGAGGAAAGGGGAGCCGATCATCGTCAAGTCTGACAGTACATTGTTCACACTGATCATCAGAATCCTGATTTATCATTGCAGCCCTACCAGTGCCCATCAGTGACAAAGCAAAATTACAAATTTGCTACATTTTATAACCAAAACTAAGACAAAATATCTTTTTTTTTTTTTTTCAAAATTTGTGGGCTTTTTTTAATTTGTTTCAGAGTTAATTATATACCACCAAAAAGCTATATCTGTTTAAAAAAAAAAAATTTAATATGGGTCACCCAACAGTTCTTTCTATTACTATCGGTCTTTCTAACGTCTTGTCTTCACACCTGTTATTTCCCTGTATCATTTCTTCTCTACCAATCAAATAGAGCATTTACCTGTACACAGATATGACTAACTTCGACCATTGCACATGCGCTGCTTATAACTATGTAAACCAGGGGTGTCCAAACTTTTTTCAAAGAGGGCCAGATTGGATGAAGTGAACATGGAGGGCCGAACATTTTTCCGAACATTCTTTGAACCATTACAATTAAATGCAAATAAATTATTTTATGCCAAGTTAATTGCAAACGACATACTTTTCATTTCATAACATTAAGATCAACTGACAGCTGAGTTTTCACAATGTATTGAAAATAAATTTAAAAAAAACTTACCTGCACTAATGTGAAGGGTGAAAAAGGTAGCTGGAGCTGAAGTCTCTGCTCGGCAGCCGGGAGGGGAAGAGAAACACACATCACGCTGGAAGCCCGGCCCTGACGTCACCGCCCTCTGTCGCTCCCAGCACGGCGCAGTCACGCATGCGCACTGCTCTCAAGCAGAAGACTGTCTGCCGCAGAAGGGAGGGCCGTGCGAAAGCCGCATTTACACAGACCAGGGAGAATGCGCCGCAGTCAGGCATGCGCACTGCCCTCTGCTCTCAAGTAGAAGACTGTCTGCCATAGAAGGGAGGGCCACATTACACAGAGCAGGGAGGGCTGTTGGAGGGCCGTATTAAACCGACCCCCGGCCGTAAATGGCCCGCGGCCGGACTTTGGACATGCCTGATGTAAACAATGACCGTCACAGTACCCCAACGCTTCCCCTACCCTTATCTCCATCACACTGCTTTGCCAATAAAAAGTTGATGAGAGTCAGGACAAGATAACATTCACTAACATCACTTTATCCATTTTCCTCTCTGTTTCCACCATTTTACTTTGTATGATGGTTGTACCGTTCTACATGTTTTTTGTTTTGCACAACTGATTACAATTAGTCCCGTCTGCGAAACGGGAAGCAACATGTCTTGTCTATGTTTTGACTGTGACCTATGGCTGTACATGCTCTAAATGCTTTTGTCTTCTCTTAAAATAATAAAGTATTTTTGGAACAAAAAAAATGTAATATGGGTACAGTGTTGCATGACCACGCAATTGTCATTCAAAGTGTGACGATGCTGAAATCTGAAAATTCGCCTGGGCGTGAAGGGGGTGAAATTGCCAGGTATTGAAGTAGTTAAGGAAGCAGTATATCCAAGTGCATTGGGATACAGTGCACATTGTGAGTGTTTTCTATCTGTCTTCTAATACATTTTGGCATTTTAAGTCAACATATTGCACATAACATTGCTGGTAGTTAGATGAGCTGGTGCGTGGTGTAGTAGGAGAAGCTGTTGGAAATGGATGGAGAGGAGACAAATACATCTGTGATTACAGCTGCCCAGCTTAAAGGGCAAGGCACATATTGACTTACTGTACAGAGTGTGTATGTGTATATATATATATATAAACTGTATTGTTGCTGTATTGTCTCCCGTTATATTGTAAAGCACTGAGCAAACTGTTGGCGCTATATAAATCCTGTATAATAATAATATAAATAATATAAAATACAAAATAACCTCTTTTGATGAGCGCGGATGATATACTTTCACAGTAAGAACTACTGTCTCTATTGGAAGATTTTCCCTCTTCCTATTCATGTGACAACCCAAAATGTGGGATTTTCTTTCAATTTCAATCTCGACAATAAATGTAAACAGGACACATAGGCTGAATCTCCCTAACGAGGACAGTAAGCAGCGAATAAAAATAAATAACTGATGTCCTAAGCCCTCACCACTCTATCCAAAACTTAAAAAAAGAAAAAAAACTCTTGTGTTTAGTTATACTTTTAAAGCAGAACTCCAGCCCAATGTAACAAGATAAAAAAATGAATAGCCTGTTAAATGACAGCATAATTAAACTAGCTTCTGCTGCACTACTCGTGTTCATTCCAGAGATTTCCCATGCAGAACTTTTTTTCTGCTACTAGATGTCCTCCGTTTGATGGCCAGCATCCTTCATCCCACTTCCTCTGAGCCCAGGTCATCATGGACCCACCCCAGCCTATAATTGGTCAGTGAAAGGAAAAGCAGTACAGTGATTGTCATCTCTCTAAGGCTCCATTCACACTTTCAAATAGACCATTTGCATTTACCTGGGGGGTGCGGTCTCAGCCAGCGGGATTCAGGTGATTATCTGCGGATGATCAACCGTGGATGCAGACAGTCTGAGTCCAGGGCCAGTTACCTTTCAATGGGGCTTCCCACCCGTAACTGTTCTCATGGATCCCCAATGAGTCTCCCGTGGGTAATCGGAAACAGACCCATTTGCAAGTGGGAATGGAACCTAACAGTCTGCTTTTTCCATCTGTCGACAACGTTTCTTGTCAGCACCTAAACTGTTTGCCTTCTTGTGCTGCTTTTCCCCCCAGCACTGCTGAACAGAGACTGCAGGAGGCTGACACCAGGTCAAATTCAGATACTTACACTACATATAATGATGTATTCATTGCTGAGTGCATTAAGTTGTGCCTTCATCTGCCTGGAGTTTGGCTTTAG